CTAGTGACATTTGAATAAATATTGCAAAAAAGGGCTCCAAAAAAATGCATATACATATAACCTGGCCGGCTTAACCCGTCTGTATTTCTTCAAGCACCACAAGATTCATAGTTTATAAAGTACAATTCTGGGCCATTGATTGTGTTATTTCTCCAAACACATACAGTACAAATGCCTGTTATGAAGCCTGAAAATGGTGCAGGACTTTACATTGGGCATACTTAAAGACAGGGCTATTCAGTTAAGAGAAGAGCAAAAAGGAAAGAAAATTGTTATAATGGGTGATGTAAGATTAATGACAGACATAATATGAGGTCCTTGGCACTCAGACTCTAGAGGGGTCATGTTGTGATCATGGGGCATCACCCTTACAGTATCAGGACAATATAATATGGAGTCAGACACTGGAAGTGTGCTGGAGGCGTTGACTGACTGATGGAAGGATGAGGCTGATGAGACTGAATAATCTGCGAGGTACGAACTAGCGGCAGAGGAATAATTATATATTAAAAGACAGCAGCATCATAAGAGGGCAACCAGAGTGACAGAGTGTGTTACTTTGCTGAAGGATATTTGTGACCAGCTATCCAGGCCAGACTCTAAAGACTTTCCAAGGGGTAAAAGCTGCTGCCGGAGTACTGACTGGAAGTATTGCTGATATCATGTCTACCATCCTCTTAAAATACTCCGTCCAACAATATCAGTCTCAGGAAGAAATGTTTTTTAACGCTTATTAAAAGAAAAACATGCATTCTTGTTCTCAGGAGGGGACATTGATAGAGGATTACTGGAAAAGGACACAGTAAGTACTTCATAGTACTTGTGGGGGTAGTTTCACTAGTACTGAGTCCAACAGGATCAATCTCACGAAGAACTAATGGCAACAAAAAATAATTCCCTCATCAAACTTAGCAGAAGTGGCTTGATTTTGTTCTCAGCAGGGGACTTTGACAGAGTATTTCTCAAAAAATACACAGTAAAAGTACTTCAATGTATTGTAAGTAGTAACTAATACAAAGTCAAACAGTATCAATTTCATTAAGAACTAATGGTAACATTTTATTTGTATCATTCATCAAAGATAGCAGAAAACATGCATTATGTACTATGGAGGGGACTCTGACAGAGGATTACTCACAAAGTACACAGTAAAGTACTTCATTTTATTTCTGGTAGCAGTCAACTAGTAGCCTACCGAGTCCAACAGTGTCAGTTTTATTAAGAACTTGTGGTAAAACATATTTGTATCACTCATTGAATATAGCAGGAAAGAAAATGAAGAGTGCAGAACCGCTGTGTGGTTTAAATCTCCTTAGTTACAATGTTGTCCATTTTAGACAAAGGCTTATTATATTTACAGCCCTAATAACATTCATTTTCTGGGCTCAATATGTGTCTTGGCTGTTTTCGTTGTGATCGCTAAATTCACCTTGTTCAAACACTGACCCAGATCGCTAGAAACACCGCTGTCATCAGGCTGGCAAGGGCTGTTCCATGCTCTGCTCAACCTCCCGGCGGGAGGCTCCCGCCTTCCCCAATGGACTCAGTAGCGCCCCCTGCTGCCGTGGAGCATGTGCCAGCCACCGAATATTCCGCCGTGAGAAGAAAAAGTGTTGTAGTTGTAAAAAAAAGTGTTGTAGTTGTAAAAAAAAGTTGTGTACTTGTAAAACCTATGCTGAATTTGTCTCTGAAACATGATTTATTAGAAAAATGTTATGTGTTTGTTTGATAGATACGTTTTTTCTTTGCAAAACTAAATGCATTAGTTTGTAGATGGTGTTTTGTATTTGCAAACCACATTGTGTTTGTTAGTGAATCATGAGGCATTTGTAAAACCTGTTTAGTTTGTTTGTGGAGTTATGGCAGGAAATGAGCTCTATACAAACCACATTGTGTTTGTTAGTGAATCATGAGGCATTTGTAAAACCTGTTTTTTACAGTACAGTCATCTGTACGGCTTCCACAGATGACATTTTTTATGGATTTTTGTCAAAGCACTTAAGATATTCATTGCTATCGGGATGTTAAGAGCATTCCATGGAATATAACAAAAAGTGTATCTCGAGCCGGTTTCTCAAACTTATACCCCACCTTTAACTTACTACATTTGAGGCATATTTTTTGGTTTTTACTCCACTAAAACATTTTAATAAATTGATTTAGCTACTTTGCAGGTATGGATTTATAATACAGAATATAAATCAACAAATAAATCATTATGTATGTTAAACTACCCAGCAGTATAGGAAGTAATTTAAATAATCCCTACCTTTACCAAGTGAACATTGACATTAATGCATTGATTATAACTATAATACAAAAATGTAACATCTGATATAGGCCTACTGGAAAATTAGTACTTTTACTTTTGTACTCGAAGTATGTTTTGATGCCAATACTTTTTGTGTAGGACTAGGATATCATATTTGTAGCCAACAGGTGTCATTATTGCGAATCATAAAGCAAATAACCCTGTGTGTGTAGCCATGACACATTATTAATGTATTAAATCGACTATGACTGCCCTTATTGCAGTATATGGTCTTCAGGTAAAGCATTTGCCTCATAACATGTTGGTATCATCTACCTGTCTCACTGGAGCACAGAGTTCCATTGCAGGTTTGGGGGATTTGGCAGTTAGTTTTGATCCCTCACTTAACATCAAATCGTTTAACCGGCAAGATGGGGAACGTAATTTTGTGTGAAAGACTTCGGCTAAATAACATTACGGTAGTGTGAAACTGTATAACCCGGAGAGTAACGTAAACGTTCTGCCATTTTGCCCCAATATAATAAGCTAACGTAAATCAACGGACGTTGTAATATCCCTGCTGAAGTTACTGTTCTGCCTCGTCGTAACCGTGTGTTTCTTGTAACCTGAACTGGGAGTGAAATAAACTCGAAGAACTATGAGCAAACACGTTCCTTGGACACAGTGTATGTGTAACTTTACACAGTAACAATAATATCCCGCCCGACATCTGTCCCAAACCGGTCGGGTTAGGTGCCCGGCCCGTCATGTCACTGCAGACCGTCACACTAAAGAGTTGAGTAAAGTTAGAACGATATTGGCAGATTCGGATTTCACGGATCAATAACTCATGAACAAAACGTTATTCACACACAAATGATGTCTCCTATGTACCGTGGTAAGGTTGACAACGAACTACAATCATATGTTGATAAAAAAAAAAAACAATATGCGCCGTCCTCCGAGCTGGACACATTAAATTGGTCTCTTTCAGCAGCCGGAGATGAAACAAGTGCTCAGGGACCGTCTGCAAAGTGCAACTCCGAAAAAAGAAAATACAATAATATTCAAAAACGTCACTATTATACAGTATATTTCTACCAAACTCACTACACACATCAATAGTCTCCTGGTGGTTGGACTACAGCAGAGAGTTTGAAAGAATGTGCTTTGGAATAATTTGAATAATTTTGGTGAATATTTATAGTGTAAAATCTTCAATAAATATGGTATAATCTTCAATAGCGTCACTATTATACAGTATATGTCTCCCAAACTCACTACACACATCAATAGTCTCCTGGTGGTTGGACTACAGCAAAGAGTTTGGAAGAATGTGCTTTTGAATAATTTTGGTGAATATTTATAGTGTCAAATCTTCCATAAATATGGTATAATCTTCAATAGCGTCACTATTATACAGTATATGTCTCCCAAACTCACTACACACATCAATAGTCTCCCGGTGGTTGGACTACAGAAGAGAGTTTGGAAGAATTTGCGTTTGAATAATTTTGGTGAATATTTATAGTGTAAAATCTTCAATAAATATGGTACAATCTTCAATAGCGTCACTATTATACAGTATATGTCTCCCAAACTCACTACACACATCAATAGTCTCCTGGTGGTTGGACTACAGCAGAGAGTTTGGAAGAATCTGCTTTGGAATAATTTTGGGGAAGATTTATAATGTATTATAACATACTGTATATTCAATGTTACACATTGTATATAGGCTACAGTATGTTATATATAAATTAAGACATGAAACAACTTTTTCATTAGCTATGAAACAGTAAAATGGTCACAATCTTATGAACGATCCAAATGCAGCACTCGAGAAACCAAACCAAGGAGTATTGGTAATGAACTTTATTTGTAATAATACCAGAGCAGAGGGATAACAGAACAGTATCAGCCGGATGATGGGCAGGCAAACGAACCAGAGGACAGCGGGCAGAAGGTGAGTCAGGGCCGGGCAGAGGGTCAGGGAGCAGGCGAGGCGGTCAACGGAGGTACAGGCAGGATCAGGGATCAGGCAGAGCAGGCAGGTCGGGGACAGGCAGGGTCGGAACCGGGTAGGCAATCTAGTAACACACGCGTGAAAGACTAGCATGAAGGCAAAGTACGATCTGGCAACGGGTGTGTGTCTGGTGAGGGTTTAAATACTGGTAGTAAAGCTAATGGGTGCAGAAGAGAAAGACAGTGAGCAAAAACGTGGGTGTGGTTAACAGGTGAGACAGGTGAATGGAAAACTACTGGTGAATGATGGAACAGACAAAATAAAGTTAACATTGAAAAATAAAAAATGTCAGGCTTTTCACCTATCTTACTGTACAATATTAATGAACAAATCCACAATCTAATGTCAGACATGGAAAACATCATGAACATCTGTGACTACTTTAATCTGTAATTGAAAATATATTTAACATCTTAATTAAGAATATAACAAGTTAAAACTATGGACAGGTGATTATTATGTCACGATCTGTCTTTATGGTGTTTTGTCTTGTCTAGATCTATCTTTGGTTTTCTGTCTGCGTTGTGTTTTGTCCTATTTAGATCTGTCTGTGGTTCCCTGTCGTTAGTTTCCCTGGTGTGTCTGATTACCCGATTGTGTTCACCTGGTGTCCCTGTGTTTTCTCCTCCCTCCTCACCTGTGTCTTGTTTGTGTGATTAGTCTTGTGTGTATTTAAGTTCTGGTTTTTCTGTCTGTCTTTGTCGTTTTGTCTTGTGTCATGACTAGTTCGTCGGTCAGTGTTCTGTTTTGTCTTTGTTTATATCCTAGCCTTGAAATAAAGGAATTTTCACGTTAATCTGCATTTGGGTCCTACCTGCTTCACACACCGTAACATATTAATCATTACTTCAGTTGCCCAAAATCTTTAGCAAAGCTTTTTTCTGGATTTTTATTTGTTTTGTACAAAATTCAGCTTTCATTTAGCCGATTTCAAATCACTGGCTGGGCTGGATTTCCCCCCACATGCCGTTTGTAAGTGCACTACTTCTACTGTGGTAGTAGTTCAAACTACAAGCCTTACCTCCCCAAATCCTGGTACCTCTGGTAAAAGTTACACAAACTCACCTCTAGCCTCTTTAGTTTGTGAGGATACACAAAACACAATAGCACGGGGTATTCTTTTTGGGTATTCGTGCAGCAGGCATTCCGAGGCACTGCGTGTGAAACCATCTCCCACAAGTTTCACACTGAATCTACATGGGGACAAATACAACAAAGATATTAAGAAAATGTAAAGTGTAGGACACTTGTAAAGCAGGCATATTCATTTATATTTTAAAGAGATTATACTTTTTTTTATATACAGTATATATAAATATTTGTTGTTATTCAGGTTTATCTGTACTGTGCTAAAACTTTAACAAATTATAAGAAAAACAAAAGGAAACCTGTAATGCATACAAATATACAAAATGTCATTACTTTTATGTTATTCCTGAAATCTAACTCCAGATGATCTATATATTATCTATTATTCAGATTATCTTCTGGAGTTTAAAAAAAAAATCATCATTTAGTCTCACCCAAACAGCATCAACAGCAGTTGTGGGCAGGTCCTCAATTCCACAGAAGGAACAGAAGTCATCCTTTGAAACTGAAAAAATAACCGGTGTATTACTGTTCAATTTACAGGAAGCCGTCCATATATTCATTTCATATTTTTGGCTAATACCTGATCCTCTGAGAATTTCTTCTGCCATGTCTCTTCGTAGATGTTGTGATGACTTGATGTGAAACGTCTTTGGAATTTTGGGAAATTCCTTCACTGTCATCTTGGCCATCTGGACAGATGGTAAAATAACATGACGTTATGACGTGTTTTTGAATTTCCCTTTAAAATAAAATGCTTTATTATTAATGAACACAACATGTTGCATTAAATCACCTGCATGACAAAGGCTCCACAACTGGTGGCATCTTTCTGGAAGGTGTGGGTTATTTTTCCAGGCTGCCATTTGATGCTAACCCAGTCCTCTTTTCCCAGTCTGTTCCGGCGCATCTTGAAATACTCTCTAGAACAAGAGGAAATAAAATGTAATTGGCGCTTACTCTTTGCCTTTACCAAATGTGCGTTTAACCAATGTATTTCCTGTAATATATTTTATATTACCCAAATTTGTAAGCAGCCTTTCTGGAGTCCTCAACTTCATTTGACCCTTGCAGAGGATCAACCACATAAATGTGGTTTGAAAGGGCATGGAGGTACTGTTTTAAAAAGTAGCATACGGTATAATTAAACCAAACCTTTTTCAATATGTCAGCAGCAACAATAATGTATCAGCTTTTCTTCAAAAATGAAAACCACAGTTATTAAAATCACTTCAACTGTTAAAAAAGCTATTAAAAGTAATACTAAAATAATAACTACCCATTTTAAATGGGTATAATTAAGACTTAAAAGTATTGAAATAATTAAAGATATCAGATGAAAGAAAGTTGCACAATTTGGGGTCAGAAGACTCAAATCTTTAGCGGAGCAGTAGCGACCACCAATGAGAAATGTTTGAATGAGTACTTATTTTGGACTACATGTTATATGGTTTCCCTATGATATAGATGAACGTGAAGACATTAAAACTAAAAGAAGCATTTTTAAATCAGTCCTGAGGCAAAGATGCATTTACAAAATGGGGCTGCATGAGATACACATGTTAGTCTTAACTCTGTCACAGTATATGAGTAATGTATTGCAATATGTTTTAATAGCAATGTATATTTAGTTGTATGCATTTGAATAAATGTAATCATACATCTTCAAAGTAATAGTTGATGAACTTGAAATGTGCAAACTCTAAAAGCAGCTACAGTATGACTACACGAGTAGCTGTATACTCACCACAAACTTCCAGTGCACATTTCTTATATTGACAAATCCAATGGCTCCATCATAGAGATCAAATGTCACCTGAAAAAATTAGGGAACATGTAAACATAAGTGTTATTTTCTATAATATACAGGTGCAAAACAATAATTTAATTTACACAGTATTCATTTTTTATTTTTCTCAACAGGAACAAGAAAAAAAGGGAAGCTTAGATTATAAATGTATTGGTTAAAAACAAAACAAATGTCTCCAAAAACGACATACATATAATAACGCTGGAAGTTGCCTGTAGACACATATCTGTCTCCTTTCTCAAGCCTACAATACTAAAGGGATGAAAATACTTTGAATAATCAGTTTCACTCACCTTTTTTAGCTCTTGCCTGGCTATCTGCTCTCGGGTGCCGTGTAGGATTACACCCATGGTGTAGTGATCCAGGAGATATAGACGACCAGCATTATCCTTCAGGTTGAGGATGCCTCTAATGTAACATTCCATTACCTTTTGGATAAATTGTAGGGGAAATAGTCATACAAAATGCCAGCTAATATAGAGGCCAAAGTCGGTTTTAATCACATCATTGTCAGATCATTTTAGAATGGATAAATTAAAACTGGTCTATTTAAAGTCACACTCCAGGTGGACTGGCCTAACAATTTACTTGGATATCATTTACATACTTTTTGTCAACAATTGAATCATTAACATATGGCTTACGTGAGATGAGCAGTCCGGTACAGCATAAGTTTTAATAAATACTTGCCTCGCCTATGATGAGTTCGTCAGGTCTCAAACTCTGAAATTCTCTGTGCCTCAGGGTGAAATTATGCTTCTCTTCAGCATGTCTTACAACAGCCACAACAACTTCAGTTGGTTTGCATGTCCAAAGGGCATCAACCTAAAATGAAATGAACAATGGTATCATAATAACTTCGTACAGCATTCGAGATTTCGGCATTTAGATTTTCTACGTTTTCTATGACAGAAAGATTGCCTCATGCTAAAACGTTTTTAATGCATTCTTAACGTTGTTTTTATAGCTCGAAGAATTGCTTACTTTGTTACTCTTTTTAAAGCATACATTTTAATATAGCAAAACAATACCTCTGTTGCAGGCTTGGACCCTTTACTTGTGGGGTTGCTGCTGTTCTCCACATCTGTGCTGCTCTGAATATCTTCACCAGTGTTCAGAGTTAACTTTGCTCTTTTTGGAACTGGAAGAATGTCTGGAGTGGTGTAATATATGGAGCTGGAAGTGCGAGGCTTTGCTCCATCTCTCTTTGCCCAACCTTCCTTCGATTGACTGATGTCTTTTGGTAGCAAAGTTTTGAGGAGTAACTGCTCAGATAAGTGATGTGCCATTATGTGTTCTCTGTACCTCCCCTGGAGAGAGCCATACATCTTTCTGATGAATGTCGCTGGCCTCAGTCGTCTCTGCTTTTTTAGAATAGAATGTTTGACTATTCCAAACCATCTCTCCACATGGCAGTTTGTGTCCCTTGTTTTACTTTGGCCAAATGTGTCTTCCTCTGTGTCAGTTGCATATCTTTTCAAATTCCCCAACAGCAGCCCACTCCAAAGGGGAAAAATCCCTAGATAGTTGTCAAAAAGGACATCAACAATGCCAGGGCAAAAGTATGGATTTTCATCCTGTGGGGTTTCGACCTCCTCTTTTTCAAGCTCTCCCTGTACCTCCTCCATGACCTTCCTAAACTCATATGTGAAGGGAGATCTGCCAACAATTGTGTGGGCATTTCTTCTTTCTTCATCATCTTCCTCCTGAGTTAAGGGACTGTCTCCTAACTTGTCCCCCTCTTCCATGTCGGGAATCCTGCATTCTTTTATGAAGTCCTTCATGGCTTTCAGATGGATCAGGACAGCATTGGAATTGTGCTTTCCAATCAACACAGTGCACAGTGAGCGGAAGATGTGTAGTGCTGTGGTCATTGAAGTAGCATTTTGCAACCTCGCAAATGCAAATGTTGCAAATTCCTTCAAACCCTTGTCTGCAGTTCTTCTCCCAATTGACTGAGCTACAGCTTTCAGCACGTGTGCAGAGCAAATGTGTAGCACTGTCAACATTTTGATTTCCTTCCATGACTTCAGCTTTGAACAGATAGCGAAAGCCCTGTCCAAGTAACTGACAATGCTCTCTTTGTTAAAAGAAAGGAGAACACTTTGGAGCAGGGCCCAGCTGTAGTCTGTTTCTACCTGATGTACTTTTATTTTAGTGTACTGTGACAGTTTGCGGAGGAACTGCATTAGCCAGAATGTGATTGGTGGAATGGAGTGTTCATTTGTCAGCATTTCACAGACTGGGAGGGGAGGTACTTGCTGACCACCTCCAGGAAGAGTGAGGCAGTAATAAAGCACTCTTTTGGTCTGACCTGGATCTTTGGATGCAACATTACCTGTAGCATCTAGATATAGGGTCAGCGGTTTCTTCTTTCTCAGGTGTTGCACAACTATGTTTACTCCGGTTTCAGAATACATATGTACTCCAAATGGGTCAACTTGAAAATGCTGTATGTACCCAGGCATCCTGCGATCATTTGAGTCACATTCCTTAATGATCATTTGTGTGAGGTACATCTCCATGAAAACATCCTCATGGATTCTTTTACCTCTTCTTACTTCTGAACGTATCACTTTGAGAACATTTTTGTTCAGACTACGGCTTATGTTTCCTGAAATCAGTTCAGCAACAGGTGTTTTTTTAAGTTTACTGTAAAATACTTGACTCACTCCTTTATGCAGGGCTCTTGCAATTCTGCCTCTTCTTCTGTTTGCTGCTGGTCGGAATTTTGTCTCATTTGCTTTGTGTGCCATTTTCCCTCTTTGCAGCACAGGTATTTTAACAAGGGTGTCTCCCACTGGCTGATTTTGGATTTTAAAGAAGAATTTGGCCCTGCAGGAAGGGAATGTACAAACTGCACAGATGTTTAAGTACGGACTTTTAATTTTCCTGCTGTTGGGAGTTTTTATGTGGTGACTCTTGAAGGCAAGCGTACAACAGGGATTTTTCTCTCGGAAACTCTTGTACAACACGTCGGTCCACGGTTGCCTCAGTTTGTTTGAACCCGTCAAAGGAACAATCTTTTGCCATTTCTTTCTATTTACTGTTATTCCGAACCTTTTAGATACTACTGGCAACTTCCGCCAATGTGTTTTGGTGCCTGTGTTTTTATTGACATCTTGTGCTCCTCTTTGCAAATTCTGTTCTTCAGTTTCTGCCTCATTCTTGTCTATGTCCTCATCTGATAACTGGTCATCTTCAAGTCCACTCTGAGAAGACATCCTTTGTTGTTTGTCTTCTGCCTCATTCTTGTCTATGTCCTCATCTGATAACTGGTCATCTTCAAGTCCACTCTGAGAAGACATCCTTTGTTGTTTGTCTTCTGCCTCATTCTTGTCTATGTCCTCATCTGATAACTGGTCATCTTCAAGTCCACTCTGAGAAGACATCCTTTGTTGTTTGTCTTCTGCCTCATTCTTGTCTATGTCCTCATCTGATACCTTATGCTGAATCATGCTCAGAGGCAAGTCCTTTGAAAGACAGTCTTCAGAACATTCCCCTCCAACATCTCTCTCGTTTTGATTTTCCTCCATTACCTGAACTTCCTTCTGCTCTAATGATTTTTGACGTTTATTGATCAAATCCCTCAATCCTTTTCGATTGTTGGTCCATACAACCCACAGCCAATGACGGTGTTTCTTATCATCATGACCAAAAAGGATTATAGCGAGTTCCGACCAAATATATGAAGAATGTCCTGTATCTCTTTTGGTAATGTGAACACTCTTCAGTCCTCGGACCAATGCTTCCATTCCACCAGCCATTGCCCATAAGTCCTTCCTCTGGGCCCTCTTTCCTTTTTTAACTCTTCCCATTATTTTCAAACTTCCTCTAACCTAAAGGAGGAAAGGCAAAGCGAAATAGTTTTTCTCAATATAAAAAGATAAAAAGTAAACTTTTTAGAAGCACATATAATAAAAAACTGTGTTCAAATATGTAACACTAAGTTGGGTTTTTGTTTTGGTTTGCAAAAATAGTCATTTGTCATTTTAAAATGTGTAATATTACATCACAGGAACAAATAACATTTGTTTGTAGTTTTAATTCAGTAACATTTCAGTTGATCAAATACTAACTAACTTCAGCTAGGTTAATAAAAATAAAAAAACATAATTTTTTTAATTTAATCTGAATGATGGCTTGTTAAAGTATAAGAAACATGTTTTGGTTAAGCTCAGGATATTATGTTTAAATAATTCCACCCTGTTACTGTGAAAAATAGTAACAGGGTAGACGGTAACAAGGTGGACATTTCATGCTAAACTTGGCTATTGATACATGTGTGATGATAATCAAGCTAGCACTTGTGACAACAGAGAAAGATATTTGATAGATATATTCACATTTTTTTCTAAATGTAAACATTTTGATCAGTTTCCACACAAAATGAGCATAACAGGGTGGACATGTTATGCTTTACCGCAATAGTTAAGTTCGTTAAAAACATTAAAAAATCGTTGAAGGAAGAGTGCATACTTACTCTGCTTCTTGAAGATGATTTTCCCACTCAAAATGTATCCTTCTTCTTGAGTCATACAAATAGTAGAATAGTAAAGGGGCGTGTCCAGAGGGATTCAAATCAGAGTAACAGGGGGGACATTAAAACAGGGGACACACACTTTAAAAAAAAATTAAATCAAGAAAATTGAATTAACAACAATTTAAATTTGGTGAGGAATATTAATAAAAGGGTTATACAATAGTGACAAAAATGTAGAATTTGATTTCTTTGTTTATATCTGTTAGAGAAGTTGAGCAAACATGATTTGGGACACAACAATTTGGCCTACTTGTGCTAAAATCAGACTAATTATTTAGCATTTTGAATATCCTGGGTAAATAACATTGATGTTTTATAGTAGAGGGTAATAAAAATGTAAAACCAAGCTTTTAAAAATAAGCATTTGACCTTTTAAATGCAAAATATATGATATAATGTGTTGGGGACCTAACCACCAGGAGACTATTGATGTGTGTAGTGAGTTTGGGAGACATATACTGTATAATAGTGACGCTATTGAAGATTATACCATATTTATGGAAGATTTGACACTATAAATATTCACCAAAATTATTCAAACGCAAATTCTTCCAAACTTTCTTCTGTAGTCCAACCACCAGGAGACTATTGATGTGTGTAGTGAGTTTGGGAGACATATACTGTATAATAGTGACGCTATTGAAGATTATACCATATTTATTGAAGATTTTACACTATAAATATTCACCAAAATTATTCAAAAGCAAATTCTTCCAAACTCTTTGCTGTAGTCCAACCACCAGGAGACTATTGATGTGTGTAGTGAGTTTGGGAGACATATACTGTATAATAGTGACGCTATTGAAGATTATACCATATTTATTGAAGATTTTACACTATAAATATTCACCAAAATTATTCAAACGCAAATTCTTCCAAACTCTTTGCTGTAGTCTGACCACCAGGGGACTATTGATGTGTGTAGTGAGTTTGGGAGACATATACTGTATAATAGTGACGCTATTGAAGATTATACCATATTTATTGAAGATTTTACACTATAAATATTCACCAAAATTATTCAAAAGCACATTCTTCCAAACTCTCTGCTGTAGTCCAACCACCAGGAGACTATTGATGTGTGTAGTGAGTTTGGTAGCACTCCACTGTATAATAGTGACGCTAGTGAATATTATTGAATATTATTGTATTCTCTTTTTTCGGAGTTGCACTTTGCAGACGGTCCCTGAGCACTCATTCCTTTTCCGGCTGCAGATAGAGACCAATGTAATTTGTCCAGTTTTGAGGACGGCGCATATTGTTTTTTTTTTATCAACATATGATTGTAGTTCGTTGTCAACCTTACCACGGTACATAGGAGACATCATTTGTGTGTGAATAACGTTTTGTTCATGAGTTATTGATCCGTGAAATCCGAATCTGCCAATATCGTTCTAACTTTACTCAACTACACTAAAGAAGTATGCATATGTCTATGCTTCGGAGGAGGAGTAGAAGAAAGCCTGGAGGCTGGTCTAGCGCAATGCTACGTGTCTTGGAAGCTGGACGTCCCTTTTTAAACCCCACTCCGTCTTTCTCGATTACCACATTTTGGAGGTTCCAGCTCCCTCATCCAGGCCTGTCCGAAGCGGTCCGAGTCCCCGGTGTTCAGCAGTCATACGGCGGTGTTACACTCGAAACATGTCCGGCGTGAAAAAGCTTCGTACGGTGAGTAGATGTGGAGATATTGGGGAGGGAGAAACAACTGTAATTCAAACTGTCATCAGATAAACCTAGAGATTTTTGTCAAAAGTTCAGCCAAGTGTCTGTAAGCCGCCAGCGCCCGAGATTTAACACTCCTCCCGAGGAGTTGTGTGTCAAATAAATCTTATTAATACACATTAACACTTTCCTTTTTGTTGAAACTCGGTTGCACGAAAAAGCAGTATTTATTGTCGATTACTTGTCAATTACAAGTAACCTGCATTGCTGCTTAAACACCCTTTTCTGCAACGCCTTGTTCGCTTTTCTGCCTCTTTACTGTAATTTACTAACTACCAGGTGTGATGGTAACAGACTTGCATTGACTCTGAATAGGCCGGTTGTTGTAGTAACTTTCCCATGTCAATTTGGTCCATTCATAACGCTAGTGAGGGAGAGAAAGAGGCCACTGTGAAAAGGCAGTCTGATGCTGCACACAGGAATGCTGCTTACTTGTAGAACATTATGTGAAGTCATCTTAAAAACTATAAGAATAACATTGGCCATTAACTGTAAGCAAAAACATTTCCATGCACAAAGACCTTTGTGTATTTTGTAGGCAAAAAAGTGTGCACCTGATACATCCATAGTGTGCACTAGAGCAGACAAGGTGAGTCCTTTTCTTAGAGTCAGCAACTTATTTAATAGGCAAACTAGAATGTATTGGTCACAAAGCAAATGTGCTGCTTTACGAAGAAACCCTGTATTTTATTTCCAAAGAGAAATGCATGGGTTCACTCGGTTGTTGCTTCCAGCTACTTCAAAGTGAGTAATGACTGGTTGTCAATTCAACAGAAATATCAATTTAGATGTGTAAATGGGGGCATTCCTGTAATTTTATGGCAAAAACAATTCATATTTGAAGTGACCGACCAGTTGGTGATGAAAATGTTCACTAGTTTCCAGCAGAGACATGTACTACCACAATATCATCATAATTGATCTTTTGTGATTTCCTGAGAAGGAGGATGTTAGCTGTAGAGAGGAAAAGAGTTATGTAAGGTCTTCCGAATTAGAGTTTATTGTAAGTTCACTATAAAGGAAGGAATGCAGTGGAAAGTCCTTTTCAGTAGGTCAATTCAATCTAAAAGCAAGCCACATTTTAAAAAGAGAAAATGGAATTACATAAAATATGATTAGTATTGTGAAGTGAAGTAATAGTTGTGCTTAAAAGCATTTCTAAAGCAAGGAGCCTTGAAGGTACTCTTTGATGAATACACAGTTATGAAGTGCCTTGATTTTGATGTAAGTGCACAGACAAAATATATACATCATGTAGGCATTGGCAATGTGTCCTTTGGGGGAAATGAGGCCCATCATAAAAGCATGTTAAGTACCTTTGTACTACCTATTAACTTTCAGTGGGAACAGTGGGTTACTTTCAAATGGTGCTCCTCAAGATACATAATCACAAATAATGACAGTACTATACTTTTACATCCCATCGCACTACTATTTTTAAAAAACTTTTCTTTACATTTTTGGTACTGATTTGATAAATTAATAAACCCAGCAAATGTAATGATTCCCTCCATTAGAAAGACAAACATAATATATAGTATATCTGTGTCGCTCTTATTAAAACACACAACGTTTTGTGTGATCAAGTCAAGGTAATTGATTTATAGGTCCATGACCATGTGTAATAAAGGGCCACTTAAACACTTTTATAAGGTGGAGACTGAAACCCTCTGAGGGCAAATAGCCTGCATGTCAAGATAACTACAATTAGTGGAAAGCATGGGGGAGAGTCATTTTTGAGAGGCGAAAGAAGAGAGATTTGAAAAGTGAAACCATGGCATGGATGCAGGTATGAGGGGAAGGTGGGTGCGGACAGAGGGCGAACGTGTGGGCACTGCCACATCATCGCTGGGCTGCAGGCAGCACACTGGACACATTGTCCAGTCAGTCCTCCCATCATGCCTCACTCCACTACCCCTCCCCTTGAGAAGTCAATACAGCCATTTATCCACACAGTCTCTTTGGACCGAGCATGTAAAACAAGTCTTGCTATGATTATCACTAAAGTGCCACGTTGTGCCATAAGGCAAGGCAAGGCAAGGCAAGGCAAGGCAAGGCAAGGCAAGGCAAGGCAAGGCAAGGCAAGGCAAGGCAAGGCAAGGAGGCAAGGCAAGGCAAGGCAAGGCAAGGCAAGGCAAGGCAAGGCAAGGCAAGGCAAGGCAAGGCAAGGCAAGGCAAGGCAAGGCAAGGCAAGGCAAGGCAAGGCAAGGCAAGGCAAGGCAAGGCAAGGCAAGGCAAGGCAAGGCAAGGCAAGGCAAGGCAAGGCAAGGCAAGGCAAGGCAAGGCAAGGCAAGGCAAGGCAAGGCAAGGCAAGGCAAGGCAAGGCAAGGCAAGGCAAGGCAAGGCAAGGCAAGGCAAAGGCAAGGCAAGGCAAGGCAAGGCAAGGCAAGGCAAGGCAAGGCAAGGCAAGGCAAGGCAAGGCAAGGCAAGGCAAGGCAAGGCAAGGCAAGGCAAGGCAAGGCAAGGCAAGGCAAGGCAAGGCAAGGCAAGGCAAGGCAAGGCAAGGCAAGGCAAGGCAAGGCAAGGCAAGGCAAGGCAAGGCAAGGCAAGGCAAGGCAAGGCAAGGCAAGGCAAGGCAGCAGGCAGGCAAGGCAAGGCAAGGCAAGGCAAGGCAACAAGGCAAGGCAAGGCAAGGCAAGGCAAGGCAAAGGCAAGGCAAGGCAAGGCAAGCAAGCAGGCAGGCAAGGCAAGGCAAGGCAAGGCAAGGCAGGCAAGGCAAGGCAAGGCCAGGCAAGGCAAGGCAAGGCAAGGCAAGGCAAGGCAAGGCAAGGCAAGGCAAGGCAAGGCAGGCAAGGCAAGGCAAGGCAAGGCAAGGCAAGGCAAGGCAAGGCAAGGCAAGGCAAGGCAAGGCAAGCAAGGCAAGGCAAGGCAAGGCAAGGCAAGGCAAGGCAAGGCAAGGCAAGGCAAGGCAAGGCAAGGCAAGGCAAGGCAAGCAAGGCAAGGCAAGGCAAGGCAAGGCAAGGCAAGGCAAGGCAAGGCCAGGCAAGGCAAGGCAAGGCAAGGCAAGGCAAGGCAAGGCCAAGGCAGCAAGCAAGGCAAGCAAGGCAAGGCAAGGCAAGGCAAGGCAAGGCAAGGCAAGGCAAGGCAAGGCAAGGCAAGGCAAGGCAAGGCAAGGCAAGGCAAGGCAAGGCAAGGCAAGGCAAGGCAAGGCAAGGCAAGGCAAGGCAAGGCAAGGCAAGGCAAGGCCAAGGCAAGGCAAGGCAAGGCAAGGCAAGGCAAGGCAAGGCAAGGCAAGGCAAGGCAAGGCAAGGCAAGGCAAGGCAAGGCAAGGCAATGGCAAGGCAGGCAAGGCAAGGCAAGGCAAGGCAAGGCAAGGCAAGGCAAGGCAAGGCAAGGCAAGGCAAGGCAAGGCAAGGCAAGGCAAGGCAAGGCAAGGCAAGGCAAGGCAAGGCAAGGCAAGGCAAGGCAAGGCAAGGCAAGGCAGGCAAGGCAAGGCAAGGCAAGGCAAGGCAAGGCAAGGCAAGGCAAGGCAAGGCAAGGCAATTCAAAGTGCTTTACAAAAAATGAAAGACATTAAGAAAATGGCATTTAAAATCAGTCATTAAAAAGAAAAGCTAATGAAATAAACATTAAAAGAAAAAATACATGGATAAAAGTTACAGTGCAGTCTAAGATATGAATAGTTCAATTAAACATTAAAAGAAAAAGTACATGGATAAAAGTTACAGTGCAGTCTAAGATATGAATAGTTCAATTAAAAGCAGCGACAAAAAGAAAAGTCTTCAGCCTGGATTTAAAAGTAGTCAGAGTTGCAGCGGACCTGCAGGTTTCTGGGAGTTTGTTCCAGATATTTGGAGCATAATAACTGAATGCTGCTTTACCATGTTTAGTTCTGACTCTGGGGACAGAAAGCTGACCAGTCCCTGAAGACCTG